GGCAGGGAGAGGGGCTTGGCGGCGCGGGGGGGCGTGGGCCCCCGGCCGCGTGGCCCCCCCCAGTGGGGGGGGGAGCCGGCCAGGCAGTTCCCGGCGCGCGGCTGCTGCGCTGGGGGGCGTGAGCCCCCTAAATATACATTTTTAAAGTCTGTATCTATAGATCATAGAAAATATCTGGAAAATCTTATGCTGAATTGTCAGAAAATTGTTGGAAAATTGTTCAGAAAATGTCTGTAATACTCCTCATTCTGTTTCCTCCATTGTTATGGGTTTTCTTTTTTCTTTTCTTTTTTTTAGAATCTCTATTTCAAAAGTCCCTTTTTTATTTTTAATTGTGATTTCTGGTTTACACATAATAATTATACATACCACTGTATAGTTTTTCAAAGCACACATACTGTGTCTGATAATTAAATCAAGGACACAGACATATTTCTCTTATTCAACACTAAAGATTACATCATATTGTTCACTTTTGACATTCTCTGTTGTTGACATCTCCCATTACCAAGGTATGTATGTAGAAACTACAAAATGGACTTTGATACTTTACTGTTAATTGAACTTCAGAGTTTATTTGGATTTTACTAGTTTTTCCAGTGCTCTCTTGCTATCCCAGGACTCAATCTAGAAGACTACATTGCATTTAGTTGCCACATCCCCTTAGTCTCCTCTGGTCTATAACAGTTTCTTAGGTGCTTTTTCTGTTTGTTTTTCATGACCTTGACACTCTTAAAGAAGACAGACTAGGTATCCTGTAGAATGATGCTGATATGAATTTGTCTGATACTTTTCTCATGATTAAAATGGGGCTATGTGCAAGCCAGCATTTTGGTGGTTAGGCAGTTGGATCCCACATGACCAATTGTACAATTGAAGTCCCAGATCTGGCAGTTTGAAAAACACACCAGTACATGTGCATGCTAGCCCAAAATCGCAAAAGGAGGAAGAGGTAGAGGAGAAGAGATTGTGGTATGGTATCAGGAGTGTTTTCTCACTTTCCCTCTCTGTCTCTCTCCAATAAGGGCATATGCTCTGTGAGAACATTTAAATTAATTAATTTAACTAAATGGGGTTATGGATTTGAGGGAAGAATACCATATTGATGAAGTACCCTTTTCATCACATCGGTTTCTGGGGTACATGATATCTACATGAAATCACTGGTGATATTACCCTCCTATCATTTTGTTAAAGTCATGTTTATCAGTTTTCACCACTGTAAAGTCACTGCTCTTCTCTTTCCATACACTGTTCTTTGAAAAGGCAAGTCACTAAATCTAGCCCACCCTCAGAGTTTGGTTAAGATCTTCCTCCTAAAAATGAGAATACTTACATATATTATTTAGCATTCTGCTATATGAAAGATTTGTCTCTTCTTCCCTTTTTACTTAGTTACTCAATAACTTATTTATATTATTATGCAACCATATATTTATTTTATATTTGAGGTTATAATTTAATATTGTATTATTTATTAGATTTGGCTAGTAGAAGCTTTTTCAGCTTGGCTCTTTCATCTCTTTGACAGGTCCCATCCTTTTGTCTTTTAAGTAATTCCTTACTTTCTTGAACTACATGATGCTAATGTGCATCTTAAATCTTCCCTTTCTCCAGCCCTGAATTAGCCTTTTGTCCAAGGAGCTCTGATTCCTTTTACTGAAGAGCAGAGTCCAGAAACCAAGATTTGGGCATTAGCGTGTTTCTTCAATTACCTTTTAACAAGTTTGTTGAGGATCTGAGTTATTATTATTATTATTATCACTATGTACATTTATAATAAACTTTGGACTTCCAAATCTTAATCTTAAATTGAATCAATCAGTCATTGGATTGAGCCTTAACATGCCCATAGGTCTTTCTATATTTCAGAGTCTATGACCATGGAAGGCCAAGAAATAGATACTCTGATTCTGAGATGGCTACTGAATTTCAGCTGTGAAATACTGCTTTCAGGGACTAAAAATGAAGACTTTCTGCTGAGACTCCTCCCTCCAGATCCATTTTTAGATTGGTAGGGCAACCTCTGTCTCCTTCTCTCCATCTCTCTCTGTTTCTCTGTGTCTCCCTGTGTCTCTTAATTTTTTAAAGTAAAATATTCTCTGGGTTCTCAAGCTCCTCCTTTAACTTGCTAATTCATGCCTTTCCTACTCCCTTCTAGGAGAGGCACAAACCAAGGCTCATTCTGATGGCTACTGAACTTCATCTGTGAAATATTGCTTTCTGCCGTGCAGTTTCATTTTTTGCCTTATTCAGTCATAAAGAAAAAAAAAACCTGGCTTTTGACAGAAAGTGGAATAATATGAAAGGTTTACTGCTAAGTGAAGCAAGCCAGACTATGAAGGAGAGACATTGTATGTCCCCACTTAATATATCCCGAGTATCTGCACTCTATGTCTGAAACTGATTGACTAAAGGATATAGAAACACAATAAATGGATGTAAATAACAGCTATAGTGTGTGAGAAAGAGTAGGGTCTGGGGAAGGACATTTAGAAGAAAAATAGAAAGGCAAAGCATTAATGGGACAAAGAAATTTGGTATTATCTGTTGAAGATATTTTATAGTTTTATCAACTGAACTAGGGAGAAATGTTCACCTGTTGAAATGTTCAGTTTGTAAGATAAATAATGTGATTGAACGTATAAAAGAAAATGAAATATAAAATAAATAAATAAAGTGTCCTAAGGTACACAGCCCCCCCAAAAAATATATATATAATTATTTTATCATCTTTTTTCTTTTTTTTAATTTTTTACAGTTTTTCTCTTCTTCTCTTTTCTTTTCCTTTTTCTTTTAACTTTATACCTCGGTGGCTCAGTCTTCATGAACTAGTGTCTTGACAGGTCTAAGTGAACATTATAAAATAAATAAATAAAGTGTCCTAAGGTACACAGCCCCCCCAAAAAATATATATATAATTATTTTATCATCTTTTTTCTTTTTTTTAATTTTTTACAGTTTTTCTCTTCTTCTCTTTTCTTTTCCTTTTTCTTTTAACTTTATACCTCGGTGGCTCAGTCTTCATGAACTAGTGTCTTGACAGGTCTAAGTGAACATTATCCAAACATCTGAATACTATTAGGGGCAGAATATTCCTCAATTCCCATTGAATCTGACACACAAAGAGTTAAAAACAAAACAAAGAGAGATTGCAGATCACCTCCTCCAGCAAGCCTCTGAATGCTCAGATTGAACATCAAGAATTAGGAAGAAATACACACCCCATCTGATGACCAGAAAACACCATAGAAGCACAAGAAATATGAGAAAGCAAGAAAATACCTATCCTCCAAGGGAAAAGAATAACTCCTCTTCACCTACAGACAGTACAATGGAACTCATGGAAATGTCAGATAAAGAATTATAATATTTGTAGTGACAGAGTTAATCAAGATGCAAGAGAAGAGAGACAATGAACTCCAGAAGACACAAGAGAAAAGGCCTGATGATTCCCAGGAGGTGAGGAAGTTCTTGCATGATTGGAAAGAGGAAATACATATCATAAAAGAGAATCAAACATAGCTGTTAGAGATGAAGGCTGTAATACAGGAAATCAAAACCTCCCTTGAAAGTATTAAAGTAGACTAGATCATACAGAGAGGATGGAATCTCAGATGTGGAAAATAGAATCACTGACCTAGAAAAATCCACCATGAAGACCAAGAAAATAAACCCCAAGAATGAGAATAATATACAAGAAATACTAGATACCATTAAACATCCAAACATCTGGATAATTGGTATTCCAGAAGGTGAAGAGACTACTAAGGGTATTGATAATCTATTCCATGAAATCCTGGAAAAAAACTTTCCAAACCTAGAGAGGCATTCAAAGATCAAGTCCCAAGAAATACAAAGGACCCCAAATAGGATCAACCCAAGAAGATCTTCTTCAAGACACATTATAACAAGATTGACCAAAAACCACAGACAAAGACAAAATACTGAGATTGGCAAAAGAGAAATGGCAAGTTACCTACAAAGGATATCCCATCAGGTTAACAGCCAACCTCTCATCAGAAACAATGCGAGCAAGGAAAGAATGGAAAAATATATTCAAATTGTTATGGGGAAAAAAATAAAAACATTTTAACCAAGATACTGTACCCAACAAGATTATCCCTCATATGAGAAGAAAAGACAAGACAAGGACATTCTCAGATAAACAAAACCTGAAAGAATTTACCAGCACCAGACCAGCTCTCCAAGAAGTTCTGAAGGGAGTACTATACCAGGAAACTAAATACAGACACACAGAAATAAGAGTTCAAAAACAACCAAGAAAATGGCCAGCTTAATAGTTGGGACAGGTCTAAAGTTGAATGTTATGTTCCAGAATTTAAATGGGAAGATCGGACCACACAAAAGATGAATTAAGTGCACATGAGACTGAACTGGTGAAAGAATCTTATGACTTTTGACTAGAACATTATTGATTTTCTTCTATGCTTTGTTTTCCAGATTTAAAGATTTTTGTCTTGTCTTGAACTACTGATAGGTTCATGTACCTTCTATTTGAGCAGACTCCTAACCTGTTTCCTGGCTTTAAGTCTTTAGCAAAACTCTCTTAGCATCTTTTTAATTTTGATTTATTAAAGCTAAAACTGTTTTTCTTGAAATTAAAGAAATATATGTTAAAAAAATACCTATTTA